TAGTGTCGCAGAGATGCAAGAGGTTACTTTTCAAAAGGGATATCTAATTAATATACACACAATCGCCACATCAGTCTCTTGCTTACGATATGATGATGCCGAGAATGAAACATCGTGTGGAAGTCGAGTTGTTAATTTGTGAAGCGCTCTATTGCGTGCCCTCACTGAAGCTCATTCTCTTCGAATGTAGTCGTCAATCGAGATGTGTTCTAAAAGTTCAACGCTTAATGGAGGGTTTCGCAAACGCACTCCAGTGATGAGATTGATGCGAAGTATCTCAAAGGTCGAGCAACTGCGATTTCTCCTCTTAACTATTCTGTTGTTTTCTCAACAGATTAAAGGTTCTCTGTAAATTTGGAGGGATCATCTAGTATTTCGGATCCTTCGGTATTAAGGGTTCAGTTATCCAGGAGACAGGATCTCATGTCAATCTTCAACTCTTTATCAAGGGAGAAGTAGTGCACGAAAAAAACGTTTCGGCGAACGTTTTTGACCGCTGTTGTATATTATTACTTGGATCTCTTGCTCAATGCTAATAATATAATGTATCTGTCTGTTACTGTACTATATTAATGGAGCGTTTTTTGGAGAGGAACTTCTTGCCTAGATTTCTTCTAGGTTTTGCATTAAAAATCATGTGTATATTGTATTCCTATTTTGCACCGAACAGGCTATCTATTGCTCAACCTTTTGATCGGGTTTATAACACATTATTAGAGAGCTGTACTGGGAAAACCATTGTTTCTGGTGTTTTCTGCGTAATCTCACACTTAATAGGTGCGAAGTGTTTTCACACCTAATAATTAGGTATCTAGGTGACCTCTCATGTGATAAGATTTATCGCCGGCTGCACCTCAGTACCTTGATCAATGAAAAGGTTGATGAAAAGAGCAGACGTGTTTTTCGGTGTCGTTATATTAACAAAGGCTTATTTGTTTAGACAGACGACTCTGGGCTTTTTGGGATCGATGTTAGTCTTCATGCAACTTCAACGCCACTTCCACATTCTCCACAACCTTTTCTCAATTCCGACACTTCGATTCCTCCTGTGCACAATCCTTATGCCGACTTGGGGTTAGTGTTATCTATTTGCCAGCATAATACTTTTATTGTTCAGACACTATGTAAAATATTAGTTCAACCCGTAATTATGAATTCTTCTGAACTTCTGTAATTAGTGCGCGCTATGATGCGCTTTGAAATCAACCTTTTCATATGGAAGCGCAATACTGGCTGCGTTCGTTGTTTGCACATTGCCTGATATCGTTCAAGTCGAGGGAGTTCTTTTTCCAGGAACCGCTTTGTGTATGTTTGAAAAATGTGGGATTAACTCAAAATATGCAACTTTATTCGTTAGAGTGACGGCAGAAATGAGCCCGTAGCTCCTTCAAAAGCCCTACAGTCTTCAGCTTCAGCTTTAGTCAAAAGTCAAGATCAGAATCCGTTGTCCACATGTCGAAATGTCCAATCGTTACAGCGTGAGAGAATTTATGAACAATTACCACAGCTAACCTTGAGGGACACTATCTTGAAAGACGTTATTTCCTAGTTCTGTTGCTGATATATCCCTTTCCTGGAAGAAAAATCACCTTCTTTTGACTTGCGGCGAGGAGTCAGAAATGATCTTCATTCCATACGTGGTCGTCCTCGTAGGTATGCAAAAAGTCGCTCAATCGTATATCAGGAAAACCTTTTTAAAGAAGGATTCCCCTGATAGAAGAGTCAGCAAACATTTGTAGGAGTGACGTTGCACTATTTACCCTTTACTGCCCCACTCCTCGAGAACTGAGCCGGATTTTTATCGAAATTGGTCATTGACTGTGAATTTGGCTAGAAACTTGTCTTCAGGGGTAATTTGACCCGTAGAACACGAATATAATACCGGTTTAGAGCGAAAACGCTTGGCGCCCGCGCCACAGGCGCCGGCGCTATCACAACAGTTTTGCGCGGGCGCTCGTAGCGCAGGCTACAGGTTCACTCGTAACAAACTGATGTGATAATCATATTCTACGGGTCAAAATACCTCTGAGGACAACTTTCCAGCGAATTTGGGGATCCGAGATGTTCTGGCGCCTTTTGGCGCCGGCGCTTCTGACGCGAGCGCCAGGCGTTCTAGCGGTAAACAAATGTGATATTCGTGTTCTACGGGTCGAATTACCCCCGAAGACAAGTTTCTGGCCAAATTCACAGTCAATGACCAATTTCGATAAAAATCCGGCTCAGTTCTCGAGGAGTGGGGCAGTAAAGGGTAAACAGTGCCTAACTGTTTTTATGGCAGTCCCGTTTAGATTGATCTTCGTTGGTGCTTTGGCTTCTATGTCGCGCAAGTAAATGATATTTGCGGAGCACTAAATTGAATTCATCTTCATTCAAAGAAAGCGCATCCTGTTGGTAGATATAGAATTAATTTTCATGAAATAACAGTCGTTTAAACTTTTGTCAGCAATTCAGTAATCCTGTGGTAAAAGGGTTAAAAGACAGCACCTGTGCAAAAATAAGAAAATCTCTCCCACCAAACACCATCGTCTTTCAAACGTGCAATGCGGGATGTGCAACGTCAAGGAATACTTCAACCTAGGAAACTTTTGGTATGTTGTCAGCCTTTTAGCCACTGTGAACTCCTAAAGCTTGCAGTACGAAAAGCATAATGTGTAAGGTAACAAGAGCGTTAGCGATAGGGTGGGATGGTGATGGTTCAGTTGAGTTTTTGTGGAGCTTCTAAACTCACCCTGCTCCTTTTATTAAGGTGGACAACACAAATACTCCATCAACTGCTGCGGAACCGATACGTTTACAGCACAGTTTCAAACCTCAGGTAAGCATCAGTTGCTCATAGATCTTAAATTCGATGTTAACAATCGAGTATGATATGTTTCACAGAGTTTGTTCTCAATATCACACTTCTCCAGTTACTTTTATGAGTCATGCTCATTCATTGTTTTTTCCTCTTTCTTACTGAAGACACGGAAGGAGGATAATTCTTTCAGTACGGCTTCCGCACTAAGGGCATTTGCAAAATGGAGGTCGAGCTCATTTCTTGTCTTCTCCCTCAATATTTTCGAGTTCCATTTTTGACTCGTACTTCTTTGTTGTTTTTTTTGTTTTGTTTTCGGTCGTTTCTTTTTTGTTGTTGCTTTCCTTGTCCTTTGCAACTTTTTTCTTATTAAATGAGGTATGAGCAGTACGATTGTCTGTCCAGGAATTATGACGCTTTTTTTTTTGAAATAGTGGTGATGTTTAGTGCTTTGCCTCAAATGGTCTCAGAAATTTCTTTTAGGTAGATGATGGGAGCGAAACGGCTAAACGAAAGCGAGAGTCTTCACTTTCCGATAGTTTTGAGGTGCCAAAGAAGCCATTGAAGCCGGTGAGATATTTTACGAAAACAACACTCTTCGAATATCATTGTTTATCTGACTGGGAAGGACTTGCCTTGATGATGATCTGTGCATTTCATATCTTCAGCGAAATTTGAGAAGTTGAAACTGTGCCACTCCATCCTATCACAGTTTCTAATAGAACTAATAGGCATTTGTAGAGTAACACGTTGACAACAGTTCATGTGTTAACTCTTCTCAAATTGATTGTAAATGACAAGTTTGGTCAGATATGCCTCAGTTTAGCAATAGTTTCATGAGTCCTGCAAAATTTCAAATTTGCTTCATTCTTCGTTTTTTATAGCACTAACATCTACATGAGATTAGTAGCAGAAGTAAATATTTACATGTTTTAATGAATGGCAACGTATGTTTTTTGATTGAATTAGTTAAAACAAGGAATTCTTTCAACGTCTACGGCAGCTAGGGTTAAGAGATGTCGCTTATTGCAATTAGCGATTCTTCGCTCGAAAATTTGAACTATTATACTCCAGATTACTTCCACGCATTGAACATTGTCGCAAAATCCGCGAATTGAAGCGAGACGACACACCATGCTTACAAAATCGTGCGTGTCATATGCGTTGAAAAAGTCAGACGCTTGCTTTCGTTCAATTAAATTGTATTATTCGTAAATTGTATTTATTTATTTGTTAGGTAACTCATATCATGGAAAATTATGGAAAGAGGTCAGTAAGTTTTGGGGTGGCAAAATATCGAAGCCCTAGAGTTCTCATTTGGCGTAGGGACAAACGAGAAGATTCGCACTGCTCCGGAATACGCTGGAAAGGTTCAATTCTCTCTTCCAAAATACGTAAATGAGGTTTATAGGAGATATTTTTTGTCAAATTCATAATTTTTTGTCAATTCCACCAGCGCATCAACCAAGCGCTTGCAAAAAACCAAGCTTCATGCATCCAAAGCAAAACTTTACTCGAGCAAAGTTTTTTTTAAACACGCTTAGGACAAAACATTCGATGTGAAGTATGTAGCAGATTATGGTTATTATTGTATAAGTACGCATAATGCCTCCCTTAGCAAGCACTTACATCAAGAAATGAGAATTCTGCGAAAAGGCATGCGAATGTTGAGCTGTCGTTGTCAATGACTGCTTTGCTTTTACTCGTACCGTCACCCAAGACTAACCCATATTATCGGGGTGGGGTTTATTTGGGGTTGTGACTCCGTCTTTTTTGAAAATTTTAACAACCAACTCACGCGTCTTCTGATCAGAACTCACCTGACACAATTTGTGGGCAAATTACGCAATAGAATACGCTTCTTAAAGACGCTACAAGCATAAACTTTTCGGAAGGCAAAGTTGAAGTTGTTGCAAGGATAAACTTGAAAAGTTGGAAACGAACTATAGCAGTCTCTTTATTATCATAGGGCATAGATTAGATGGATTCATTCCAAATAGTTTGTTGGTGAAGTATATTTGCATGTTTCTGGAGGGATTTTCGCCAGTAATATTGTTAAACTTGACAGACTGGTGATCAATGAATTATTTTAGTATTCACGTCGGTGGATGCGGTTGGTGACAGGAGGAACCCGCAGCCAACGAGATCTGACCGCGGCTGCCCATGCTTTCATCGCCCGTTTACCTCGATTTAAGGATAGCTGGTGACTGGTAGCTCTTCCTTGGAGAAATATTTGTGTACGAATTCGAGAACTAACTTCTTGGATTGCTGGCGCGACATAGACGTTACATATCATATTTCATTGTCTAGTCATTTTGTCGCACGTATTTCTTTTTTTAAATCATATAGAAAAATTGCTTGAATGAGATGCTTCTTTCTGAGTCTAGGTATATTGATGTATGTTTTTGATTAGCGCAAGTTTTTTTCTTTTGTGGTACGCGTTCTCACCGTCGTCATCTCGTAACTGATAGCATTCCCGACTCATCATTACTCGAATTTTAATCTTGATCTTAACGCGTTCATTCATTGTAGAAAATTCTTTTGTACACTTCACGTTAACCTCATCTCAATATCCGGTTGGAGTTTATGGCAACTGTGACAGTACATATACTCTGGAATGCTCACTTATCAACCAGGCTTATCACTGTTCTTACGTGCTTGATACGATTAATATAAAAATCTTAAATTGTATGTTTATGGGAATCTGGCTAACTGAAAGCTTATGCTAAATTGCATACTGAACGAAAATATTAGTTTAATACTCCTTTGAAGCTTCTGCAAGATTGTAATACTTCACAAGGCTGATGTTTCGGCTAGTTCGCCTGCTGCAGGGCCTGGAGAATCGAAAACTTTGAGATCGACCCCTAGAAGTTTCTAACAATCTTGAAGACAACTCCCACAGGCTAGCTGCGAAATTACCTTGATGTGTGCCGCCAAGGAAAAAGAGAGACTACCACAAGGCCAGTAGGCTCTAGGGAAGGCGAATAATACAGCGCCAGTCTGGTTAAAGGCAAAGTTCGGGCTCACCATCAGACCCACCTAAGAAGCCCTTACCATGGCTAGAAGTGCTGGGCACGCAAGTGCAAAGGTAGCGCCACCTTTCTACATCGAAACGCGTCACTAGGACCCTAGGCGCCATGGACTTCTAACAGACTCCACCAAACTTAACATGGTCCGCCCACCGTTCGATATCTTGTCTGCGTCGCTGCGTTGATCTGCTATGCTCTCTCTCTCGGACTTCTCTACCACTCTCCGCGCTCACATTATCTCTCATCTCCCTTTTGAACTTCTCCACAGCATAGAGCAAAATGCTCGTATTTCCTGTGTATTTCAGGATTTTCTTTCCTTTTTTCTCCACTGGCGGTCCACCTCCCATCCCTACTTTCACATTTGAGTGGAATCACCCAAATTTAATCCTGATTCTTGAGGAAAATGCGACTTCGAAAACCATTAGACCAGAAGCGCGCGGCTACCGGCTGGATCCCTCGGAACGTCAAGCGAACACCGGGGACGACCGCCAGCCTCACGGTCAGATCATGCATGGAGGTTCTGTGCGAAGGACATGAGATGTTACGTGTCTTTCGTGTGAGGATGGCTTCGTATAGGAATGGCTTTGCGTAGCAATCTTACATTACGATTCCGCACTTTGCCCCGACAGTTCACATGGATCGTTACAAGGCTTCGGTTCATTACGATGGGAGTGAGGGTGTAGAATTGCGAAAAGCATTCGCTTTGTGTAGTTGTACGACTAGAGCCTTTTAAGGAAAATGGAAGTAAAGCCTGGCCTGCATATGTGAAATTCCCACGGCAAAAACTACAAAACGTTGAATTTCATAGCTTCACGGTTAACACATGTCCTGAGACCATAGAGACCCGTTTGAAAAACTCCACGATCCAGTGGTCGAAACCTTGGGCAGGGGATACTGCGATATGGAACAAAGTGGCACGGGGTAAAATTGGACCAATATCTTCAGATGGGCGTTCCAAGGCATGACTGTGGAAGAGGTAGAAATGCAAAATTGGTAATCCTCCCACAAATGAATCGAGCCAGCCGCCGCCGTGCGAAGTACGTGTAGCGCACCCGGTTGCTCCTACGGAAGCCGTGCTTGTCTCCGATCTCGCGTTTTTTCTTTGTAAGAAGTGTGGAAGATCAATAGGGTCACAGCTTGGTGGTTTGGTTTCGCGTGCGGCCTTTTTTCGGGCGAAGGATTTGATCTTACTTGCTTCCAGATTTTTTACGGCGCAAGTCGGCGCATTCAGACCGGCATATTTACGATGGGGGGCATAACTTACATTGGATTGTCTCCAAGAAGGTGAGAAAAAAAGCCTCTCGCAGTCCTTGCTTGTCTCGATCTCGGTTTCTTTGTAAAAAGTGTGGAAGATAGAGCGTCACAGTGGTGGTTGGTTTCGCGCAGCGTTTTTTAGGAGATTTTTATGGTTCCAAATTTTTTTTATGGCGCAAAGTGCATGAAATGGGGCGTAAACTACTTGGATGCTTCCAGAAAGTCGCTTGCAAGCACTGACTAGCTGGAGTTTCAAGAGCATTGAAAGGTGAAGCATACTAGATTCTCAATTGATTTTTAGGATAAGCCACGCATTCTATTCCCATACGAGATTTTAGTGGCAATCGAAAACGATTTAGAGTACGAAGTAACAGCAAATTCAAAGATTCAGCGTTTTCTGAAACGAGTGTGGTGGCACCATACAGTCGATCTGGAGGGTTTAAGGCTTACTTGCTCGGCAATCATTCTGTAGTTTGGCCTTTGGTTCGTCCGCTAGTGAACGGAAGCCGTAATCCACTACACCACTTACGTCCTCATAAGCGAACAGATGTAGGTTTGGAATATTGTGGTTGAAGGTTCCTAGAAATTGCTACAAATTAGCTTCGGTTAGCAAGAGATGATCTGGCTGACCTTCAGTGTTCTCATCGTGGAGTCGATTCATAGCAATTAAGTCACGGAGTGTCAGTCGTTTCAGCGTAAGCGATAAATAGTTCGGCAATTAAAGTCTCCAAACTTCGTCGGAGTTCAAATTTACGAGGCTGGGTTAGAGGCATTGCTCTTCTAAAAGTGCGTGAACCACCTGAAGTACCGGTCTGCTCACTAGGTGTGAACAGTAGTGAGTCCCAACCATAGGTAACTCTTGTTGGTACGATGCTGACGTTATGGACGAAGCTACTGGCATCTACTTCGATTCGATTCCAACTGAAAGCGGTGACAGTGGTTTTGAGAACTTGCACCAGGTAATCTTTCACCGGAGTTTGTGTTGATCATGTGCAACCCCAAAGATTCGGAAAGTCGAGGCAGTGTCAAGCCGCTATTGCTATAGGCCGAAACATGATGGGCGATAGAAATTGTGGAGACAGGCTCCCAGCTGGAAGTTTAGCCTTTTTCCAATACAAAATAGAGTGACGATAGGAACACTGGCTACCGTCCGTAACTCCCTTCACTTTGCAATACAACGTGTCGGTCAACCGTTGGTAATTTACCGTACCGGTCGTACTTGAGTTT